AGATGAGGAGGAGATTGGATTTATACCCCACCGTTCACTACCCAAAGGAATCTCAGAGCAGCTTACAAACTCCTTTCCCTTCCCCTCCCCACAACAGACACCCTGTGAGGTAGGTGGGGCTGAGAGAGCTCTCTTGAGAACTGCCCTTGAGAGAACTACTGGGAATCAAACTTTGAGTCTACTGGGTGCTACTGGGACTCAAACGTTGTTCCCTTGCCATGTTCCAGTTTACTTCCAACCCTCACTATTGCAGCGTTCATTTCCCATGTGGATTTCTCCTCCCAGAACCAAAGACTCATTTTGCTGTTGTTCCTTCGTCAATCCCACACGCACACTACAAATCTTGCAGAGACATGTGTGTCCAACAGACATTTTTAACTCTGCCTCCTGGGCCTGGAATTCCAGGGACCTCCTTCTACAAAGTCTGTCCCTGAGACTCTGGATCTGTGGCCTACAGCTGCATTTTGACGTAACCACAACGCCATGGGGTTTGTTAGCATCTGAATACGCCTCCTCTGAAGAGCTGGGCTTGTGCACCCCACCTCCCCGCTCCCTCTTCCTCCACATGCCGCTTGGAAATGGAAAACGTCAACATTCCTGACAAAACCCCCCCCCATTGCCGACTGCAGTTCCAAACCACATTTTTATTTTAATACTGGTTTGCAAACAAGAGAAGAGCTCTTGCAAAAATTAGATGAGAACTCCTCCAAACCAGCAGAAAAGCCGTCCTTGACCGGTTGTTCTGCAGTTATTTCATTCAACTCTATAATGGTCAGAGCATTAAATGGAACTGGAATATATTAGAAGGTATCTCTGGTTGTGAACATAAACCTATTGCTTGTTTTAAAAGAACTTCTGATTACAAAGATCCACTGATCCACAGTGATACTTCCATAGTAGACAACGTGCAACAAATCCACCTAAGGGTCATTATGGTCATTATGTAGCCAAGCACAGACTTTACTTCAAGGACATTTCTCGTGTGAAAGATGTCCTGAGGCTTCATAGGAAAGTTACCAAAGCTAGCCTCCCTAAATTACTACAGTTTACTACAGACACTCCCCCCCCCCTTGGCAGGCGAGGGCAGCGATAAGCGGGCAAAACATATCGGGTTATACAAAGAGGTTACACAAAGAGAGCAAGCAGAATATATCGGGTTGAAATACAGCAGGCACAGTTTAGTCAAATGCCGGAGTCTGACACCAGAGTCTTGCATTCTGTCAGATTGGGAACTCTTCCATTCCTGAACTAGGTGCAAGGTAAAAAAAATTCAAGTCCAGTGGTAATTAGAGAAATTCTGCAAGACTGCAGACTCCCAAGGCTTGCTTCGGCTTTATCATAACCTCTGAATGCAGTCCTGGGATACAAGGCCGAGCCTTACCAGTGTGCTTCACACTACTCTCTGGTAGGAAGGGCCGTTCTTTGGGCCAGCCTCTCAGGGCCTTTGGGGAATGTCTGACTGGCTGAGCCAGGGACAAACGCCCACCATGGCACACTACCTACACCCAGGAGAGGGGACAAGGTGGAAATACTCACCAACGTCGTGGATGAAGCGCTCGATTTTAGACTGCATCCCCCAGTATCTAAACTCTACTTTGCACAGCTTGTATGCGCACATGATAGGGTATCTGCCGGGGTTGTTCTTGTGGTCTTTGATCCAGTCTTCCGACAGAGGCCCTCTTTTAGTCTTCACCGATTGATACAGCCTGGGATCCTCTTCGGACTTGTATTCGTGCGGGGGGATGGGATCTTTAACAATGTCAATGGGATCTGAATACAGAAGAAACCAGGGTGTTTTTTTTTTAAAAAAACCCCCACAAACAGTAAAAAGTTAAACCCTAAACATCAAAACACTCTTCCAAAGTGTGGTTTTATTCTGGAAATTACAGGAACACAATAGCCACTCAGTCTCTTACGAGGCAGATGCAAGCATCTGATATTCACGCTCTTTATGCGAGGCCCCGTGTTTACTTTCTCTCCAGCAGCCATAAACAGAACCTCCACTCAGGGATGGTATTTTCACACAAAGACGAATGCTCTCTGTCACATCTGACCGCAGCATCTCGTCAGAACAATGCTACATTCCAGCAGAACTAAATGGGCCATTGCAATATCAATCTCTCATTACTTCAAGCGCTGCCACAGAACACAGATAAATCCAAAGTAGGGTTCCACAGGAACTGTTACAGTACGAAGATTAAGCGGATGAAACCTGCGAGGAATGCAAATTCGATCGCGGCTCCCGCTTACGAGCCACAGCTCTCTAGACATGTACCCAGAATGGTCTGTGGGTAGTAAGGCCAGGGCTTTTGTCTGGGGGAATGTGCGGGAATGGCGTTCCGGAACCTCTTCGACAAAATCCTTAAAAAAAAAAAAAAAGTGCAAAAATTCATGAGTTTTCAGTATACAGACTGAAAACTTAATTTTTCCTCCTGAGACCTTTAGCCAGTGTTCCCTCTAAGCTGAGTTAGTGTGAGCCAGCTCACAGTTTTTAGCCTCCGCCTCGCACATTTTTGTCTTCGCTCGGGAAGGAGGGCTCCAGAACAAACTAATTTGTGCAGTAGCCAAAGCGCCTGCTCACAACTTTAATGCCGGTAACTCACACAAAGTAGAATTTTTGCTCACGAGACTCCACAGCTTAGAGGGAGCATTCCAACACCTCTTTAAAAAAAAAAAAAAGCCCTGCAGGGCTTAGGCAAGTACAAGCAGCCACCCCAAAACAAGATATCAGCCCCATGTCCAGAAGTGGTTCTGCCATAGGAAGGTATAGCTGCTTGTCTTAGGTGGGGAAGACCTAAAAAAAGACCTGGTAAATTGGACCAAAGGTCCAGCGACCAGTATCCAAATGCCTCGGAGAAGGCCATCAAGGAAGGCATGTCTGGTCAACCTCAGCAAACGGTATTAGCACAGGAGAGCTTTTTAACCAGCACAAGAATTGCCTTGCTGGATCCGATTAAAGCCCATCCAACTCAGCATCCTGTTTCCAGGCAGATGCTTCTGGGGAGTCCGGAACCAGAACCTGAAGGCAACAGACCACCCTGCGCTGCTCCCCAGCAAAGAAGAAGAGGAGACTGGATTTATACCCTGCCCTTCACTACCCAAGGGAGTCTCAGAGCGGCTTACAATCTCGTTTCCCTTCCCCTCCCGACAACAGACACCTTGAGGGGTAGGTGGGGCTGAGAGAGCTCTGACAGAAACTGCTCTTTTTCAAGAACAGCTCTTATCAGAACTACGGCTTGCCCAAGGTCATCCAGCAGGTGCAAGTGGAGGAGTGGGGAATCAAACCCGGTTCTCCCAGATTAGAGTCCGCGCACTTAACCTCTACACCAAAGTGGCTCTCACAAAGTGGCCTTTGAACCTGGACATTAATATGAGGCAGATATCTGAGCAATGAGACAAGAGCAAAGCCTAGCGAAATGAACGAGAACTGCACAAGCCCAAAGTAGCTCCCATCCATTTCTGTAAGGCTTCCTCGGGATAACTTTTTGCTGGATCTTGTCTCAGGAGAAGAAAAGAGCGAGAGTCCAGCAGCACCTTAAAGACTAACAAAATTTGTGGCAGGGGAGGAACACTTGTGAGTCACTGAAGAAGTGAGCAGTGACTCACGAAAGCTCCTACCCTGCCACAAATTTTGTTCGTCTCTGGGCAATTCTGCATCTGGCCTTCATTCCACATTGTCTCAACACCGAGGAAAAGGTGCAGCTCAAAAGCACATTCAGATACCCCGGGGCCAGGGGTCATTTCCTGCAGGAGCGCACAGGAGCGGAGCTCCGGCAGTAAAGAGCCCAGGGGGCGGGCACATGCTACAAGCCCCACCCCCTGCTCCCAGCAGCCCTCCGTCAGAGCAAGAAGCAGCCAGGTAAGTTGCAGAGCCCCCCTCCAGTCCAAAACAGTCCAGTGGCACCTTTAAGACCAAGTTTTATTCAGGTACAAGCTGTCCCTCCTCTGCAAGGACAGATCTGCACGTTTCCCCCCCCCCCCCCAAAACAGGGAAACCCAAAAAACCACCGGGGGCCGCGGTGGGTGTTGCCTTCTGACACACTTCCGGTGATGTCAGGGGGTGTGGCCTATGCAAATAAGTGATGCTAATGAGTTCCTGCACCACTTTTTCTACAAAATGACCCCTGCCCGGGGCAACACCGTACTGACTGCGAAGTCACCCCTGAGCGGCCATAAATCTATGCAGAAGGTACTATAAAACCCAATGAACAAAGAAAGTGAAAGCGGCATGCAGGGTAGAGGGTACCATAAAAATCCGATGCTCAAAGGAAGTGAAAGCAGCATGCAATGCAGAGGGGAATTTCCGTTCCAAGGTGGGTTTGGTAAAACAAGGGCGGGGAAAGCCAACGCAGGATCGCCCTTTAGGGTGCTCCTGGACTCTTGCTCTTTTCTACTGCCATGGACAGAATAACATGCCGACCCACCTTGATTGGTCTCAGGAGTCTTATATGCATTTTCTACCTCAGCCCCTGACCCACCCCTTGGCTGGCCTAAGCGGCAGGGTACACAGAGGGGCTTTGTCTGCTCATTCCTCGCCACGGCTTCCTGGCAGCCAGCATTCTCTCATTCTCTTAGCTCAGAGAGTTATTCGACACACACTTCACAATGCGGGGGGGGAGGGGGCCTGGGCAAATGGAGCAGAACTAATTAATGGCTCCCTTAAAATAAGCCTGTATGCAGGAACTGGAACCAGGAGGCATTTAAATCTTAGGCTGAAGGCTTTTTAAACATCTCTGTTCCGTTTTCGCAGAGAATTAAGTGGTCTTTAGGCTCCCCGGTGCAGAGATACCCGCCCGTCGCCACCATCTGTACTCCATGCATGAAGCAAGCATTGCCGCTCAGCTGGTGTTAACCAGGTGCCTTTTGAAATGAGTTACAAGATCTCTGTGTGCCAGCGTTAGAGGTTCTGTTCCTCTGGCTCTGAGGCCGGCGGCTGATATCACGGCTTCCCCGCTCTGTTGTAGATACGGGAAGGCTGGTGCCCCCGTGAATGACACGGTTAGTAGCTTACTGATCTCCGTTTTCATTTGAAAACAAAAGCAGGTTCCTAGAGCTCATGGTTGAAGCAACGTATCTGATCGACCTGAAAGGACGGGGCAATGTCTGATGAAACCCCAGAAGCCAGAGGAGTAGTAAGAGGTTGGAATTTCAGCTAAGGGGGGGGCTACACTTTGCTGAGGTCCATGACTGGACAAAGCAGAATAATATAAGGAGTAGAAGAAATGCTGCAAGCTCGGAGGGTGAAGTGTGCTAATCTGCTTGATATACAGAATGTATATGGGTAGCAGAACTGGGCTATAACCAGGGGTCATTTCGTAGAAAAAGAGGTGCAGGCGCTCATTAGCATAACTTATTAGCATAACTTATTTCCATATGCCACACCCTCTTACATCACCGGAAGTGTGTCAGAAGGCAACACCTTCTGGCTCCACTGGACTGTTTTGGATTGCTAGCTATGGGGGGGGGGAACGTGCAGTTCTGCCCTCACAGAGGAGGGAGAGCTTGTACCTGAAGGCGGGGGGGGGGGCTCTGCAGCTTACCTGGCTGCTTCTTGCTCTGACTGAGGGCTGCTGGGAGCAGGGGGCGGGGCTTGTTGCATGTGCCCGCCCCCTGGGCTCCTTACTGCCGGAGCTCCGCTCCTGTGCGCTCCCGCAGGAAATGACCCCTGGCTATAACTAAATGGTGAAGGGCTGTGGTTCAGTGGTAGAGCATCTGCTTGGCACACAGAAGGTCCCAGGTTCAATCCCCAGCACACCCAGCTAAAAGGACCAGGTAGCAGGTGATGCGAAAGACCTCTTCCTGAGACCCTGGGGAGCAGCTGCCAGTCTGAGTAGACAATGCTGACCTTGATGGACTGAGGGTCTGATCCCAGTATAAGGCAGTTTCACGTGTTTACATTAATAGTTTGAGGAGCCTTTGCAAATATATATATACATATTTTTAAAAAGGCTGGAGCACACAAAACCCTGACTAAGGTCCTCCTGTCTTCAATTACAAACCCAGCAGCATGCATGTGGCTTCCTGTGGTGTAATGTCACACCACTCAGGAGTGTGTAGGAACACCATTCCCATATGGGTGGGTCTTTTTAGCCAGTGTCATTTAGGGTGGAGATAGCCTTGGACCCTGATTCAAACTGAACTCAGTGACAGAGCCACCCAAGTGGCCTAGAACAAGTCTCTTTCCTCTTCTCCCCAGTGCCTTGGCTTCAAAGCAGCAAACCGCCTCAAAGGGCCTTTGTGAAGACTAATAAGAACTGGAAACTCTTTTGATCATAGGATTGCTCTTAGTCAAAGCCAATTTGGAGGGTCGCTTTCAGAGGTGAAAAGTGCCCCACAAATGACTAGTTTGGGGGAAGCACATTTCCAGAAATGCTAGTCCCCAGAACTCTCCGCCACCCCGAAGATGGATGCAGTGCACTGACACGGACTGATCTCAAGAGCCGTGAGTCTCAACGTTTTATCCAAGCATGTGCAAGACCAGTTGTTAACTCCCCCCCAAAAAAGTCAGCAATCTGTAGTTGGCTCCCCACACTATACCATATTGAAGAGGCCATGTGAATCGGTTCATTGGTCACACTGTCGTTTCTGTGCTCCAACACTGAAACCATTTCAAGCTATAGAACTAGGGTTCCCAAGTACTTACTGCGATCAGGCGGGGGAAACATGCTCCCCGGCCGGACCATTCCTCCCTGTAACACACCGTGCCGTCGCCAGGAAGTGACGCTGGGCGACGCTCTGGCAATGGGGCTGGAAACTCGATGGTACCATCA